TTTGCGATGACCCTATTTCCTGGTCACCTCGTTCACCAGATATCACTCCCCTGGACTTCTTTTTTATGAGGTTATGTTAAAGATATGTATCGAACAAAGATACGGGACATCACTGATCTGAAGCAAAAGATCACTGATGCCATTGTCCCCATTGACAAGGCTATGCTATAGCAATCATGGCAGAAATCGACTACCGTTTTGATGTGTCCATGCAACTAATGGTGTCCATATAGAGGTTTTTTTAAATAGCTAAAAAAACAAAAACAAAAGAAAACTTTAATATATACTGATCATTTTGTTTCAATTTCCACATATTTGTCTGTTCATTTGCTTTTGTAATATTTTTTAAAATTGTATAGAGACTTTATGGACACCCTGTATATATATTTTAAAAAAAAAATCTTAGTGCACCCATCCTTCGTACGCATGCGTAATAACATCTAGGTAAACGTCACTTGAAGCCGTAAAGCCATTGAAGCCGTAAAGGAAGAAACGAGTCACGTGTAAAATTTTATATATTTCTTTTCCTAACATTGTTCTTGATATAAAAATATATATTGTTTTCCTACACACACACACATTATATATATATATATATATATATATATATATATATATATATATATATATATATATATATATATATATATATATATATTATATTATATACTTCTTCTTTCTTCATATCCTGACAGGATCTGATCGCAGAAGTTGAAGCTCATTAAATATCCTCTACAATGATTGTTTTATTTTCAGAGCCTTTGTTTCGATTTTTCTCTTTGTTTTCTTTTTTTCAGTCCTTCTGATTATCTCCCCCTTTTTATAACCCTCTCCTTTTTTGAAAACCGTTTCTCGTTGCCTTGCCTGAAAAAAAAAAAAAAAAAGAAAAACATTTAATCCTCTGTATGTCATTCCCGCTTCGTTGCTCAACCGTGGACACGGATAGATGCATAATGAAACGGTCAGGTTGTGATTCGATAATTTACCTTCCAATATCAATTGGCTTCCCTCTTCTTGGGGAGAGTCCAATTTCGATTTTCGGTGACCAGAACTGTAAAAGTGTGTTCTTCAATCTGAAAGCCCAGCTGTTTTAGTAACCTTTATTGACGTGGCAAAGCTTTAATGAAAGCTTTTATTTAAATTTGAAACTTTTTGTTTGTTTGCTAACACGCAAAAGCTGATGTCACAAATTAAATAAAATAAAATATAAGCAAAAAAAAAAAAAAAAAAAGAAAACATTTTCAAATATTTGAAAATTGATTATCAATGGGGAAAGTTAAAAGCGGCATTAACTTAAATATCTATTCCGGAGAACTTCGTAATTTTAGTGGGTGCTTGTCCGTGTCTACAACTGAGCTCCTCATTTCTTACCTATTTGCTTATGTGTCTGTGTCAATTTGAATGCTTTGTTGTGTTCGCCTTATCTATTTCATATATGTGTCCATATACCAAAGATTTCATAACGAAATCTGGTTTCATTCTCGCCATACTTAGTAAATGTATTATTATAAAAATGAATCTTTCTCCTCCTCATCCTACTACTACTAATATAATAATAATAATAATAATAATAATAATAATAACAATAATGATAATAATAATAGGAATAATAGGAATAATAATAACAATAATGATAATAAATGTCAAAAATAAAAAAATCTCAAAAATGTGGTGTATGAGGACATTAACAATTCCGGTTGTAGTTGGAGCCCTCGAATTGATTGAAAAAGATTCCAATAGACTCATTGAAGGAATCACTGATAGTCCATGTCTTAAAGAAATACAAAATGTTGTACTGATAAGTACAGCTCACACCTTACCAAGGGCTTTTTCTATGTAAAATATGTATGATTTTTTTTCAAAACTGCTCAGTTAAAAATGTCATGATGCCATTTCTGACCTTAGGTCTCTGGTCGGGACCCGGAAAGATACACCAGAAACATATTCTGTAATAAATACCCAGAAACAATTGACCATCTTGTATCAGTCTTAGCAGCAACCGAATATACAACTCGGCATGATAAAGTGGGCCAATATCTGCACTGGAAAATATGAAATTATTACTGGAAAGAAACTGTAAGAAACTGGTATGAATATCACCCAGAACCGGTTACAGAGAGAGGACCTGTAACAATTTTATGGGATTTTACAATACACACAGATAGAACAATCAAACAGATATCGTGAAGAAGAGACCACAAAAACACAATGTGCTTTCTTATTGACATAGCAATCCCTGCAGAGTGTAATATATCGTTCACGATCTTAAAAAAGCTATCAAAATACAAGGACCTTGAAATCGAAATCTCAAAAATGTGGCACATGAGGACATCAACAACTCCAGTTGTAGTTGGAGCCCTAGGGCTGATTGGAAAATATTTCAATAGACTCATTGAAGGGATCCTGGTATTCCATGCCTTAAAGAAATACAAAAAATTGTACTCACAAGTACAGCCCACACCTTACGAAGGACTTTATCTATGTAAAATATGTGATCTTAGGTGCTTGATATTGTATTGTTCTTTTGGGGGTTATTTTCCTAAAAATGCTAAGTAGAAAAATGTCATGATGCCATTTCTGACCTTAGGCCTCTGGTTGCAAGCCGGAAACAAATGAGTATAGACGAGAAATCAAATCACATAACAATAATAATAATAATAATATCTGATTCGTGTTATTGAAAACTTGATAATTGCAGCACAGGAACAAGCTCTTGCTACGACTGCCTATAAAATATCATATACGCAAAATATAATCAAGAATGAAGTCTTTGTGTTGAACATTCTGAGAATGCTAACTCAAAAAGAATATAAGAGGCGCCATGATAAGGTATTCTTTTATGTGCATTATAGTCTGAAAAGTATGGGTATAAATTGCAAAATATTGGTGCGAGCATATTCTTTGGAAAATAAAGAATTTGGAAAGCCCACAATATTCTGGGACCATGATTTTCAGACAGACAGGAGGATACATCCCGATATTATTGCACTAGATAGAGCCAACTTGAACTGTCATATTATTGATGTTGCCATACAAAATAACACAAATATAGCAAAGCTAACTGATTTGAAAGCTGAGATAACAAGATTGTTTACAATGCAGGAAGGTAATGTCAAAGTGATTCCAGTGGTGATTGGTGCACTGGGATCAATCCCATTAATAATTTGTTGATTTACTGGGGATACCATATAAACTAATATGAATATATAAGTGAATAATGCATTAAAATTTTTTGGAGAATATTAATAATTTTTCGATTTCTATTTTGATTATTGATGATTAACTCCTTCCTAACCATTTGCTTGAAGTCGTGTTGAAAGTTAATATATTGATTATAGCATTGTTTTCTCTTCTAGTTACAATCCATTTTAGTTGGTGTTAAAAGTCTTCAAGTGATGTTTTTTTTTTTGTTATTTTGTAAGGTCCTTTGTTCGTGACTCTGTAGAGCTAGTCCACGTGATCTGAAAAAAGATAGTCCTCTCTAAGACCTATATGATTCATTCACATGAAGCCATTTTAAATCAAAGATATGAGAAAACGCTTTTATTCACTTTATAGTATAAACATTTCGGCACGAGTTGGATATCTTGCATGGCATCCATATTAGAATCAAGATATGATGAGTTTATTTAATAACACAAGTTTTCAGGTTAATATTTTGATCCCGTAGCATATCACTGCATTGGAATACCCCCGCACCAATATTCTTCAAATATAATAAAATAGTAGTACACATGATAACACGAGAGTTTAATGCTCATTATTTAACATTAAATTTTATTCAATTCTTGACTTCATCAGTTCTCTGACAGTCTATGGTATGCAGCCCCGGAGAGAGATCAACCGTACGTCGTCCTTACATTCACCGACATATGAGACACATCTCTATTCTCTCTCCGGGGTATTTGTTCTCAATTCCCTCGCCGCGGTAATTGTTCTCAATTCTCTCGCCGAGGGAGCTGTTCCCAATTCTCTCTCCGAGGTAGCTGTTCCCAATTCTCTCGCCGAGGGAGCTGTTCCCAATTCTCTCTCCGAGGTAGCTATTCTCAATTCTCTCTCCGAGGTAGCTGTTCCCAATTCTCTCTCCGAGGTAGCTGTTCCCAATTCTTTCTCCGAGATAGCTGTTCCCAATTCTCTCTCCGAGGTAGCTATTTTCAATTCTCTCTCCGAGGTAGCTATTCTCAATTCTCTCTCCGAGGTAGCTGTTCTCAATTCTCACGCCGAGGTAGCTGTTTCAAATTCTCTCTCCGAGGTAGCTATTCTCAATTCTCTCGCCGAGGTAGCTGTTCCCAATTCTCTTTCCGAGGTAGATGTTCCCAATTCTCTCTCCAAGGTAGCTATTTTCAATTCTCTCTCCGAGGTAGCTGTTTCCCAATTCTCTTTCCGAGGTAGCTGTTCCCAATTCTCTCTCCGAGGTAGCTATTTTCAATTCTCTTTCCGAGGTAGCTGTTCCCAATTCTCTCTCCGAGGTAGCTATTCTCAATTTTCTCTCCGAGGTAGCTGTTCCAAATTCTCTCTCCGAGGTAGCTATTCTCAATTTTCTCTCCGAGGTAGCTGTTCCCAATTCTCTCTCCGAGGTAGCTATTCTCAATTCTCTCTCCGAGGTAGCTATTCTCAATTCTCTCTCCGAGGTAGCTGTTCTCAATTATCTCGCCGAGGTATCTGTTCCCAATTCTCTTTCCGAGGTAGCTGTTCCCAATTCTCTCTCCGAGGTAGCTATTTTCAATTCTCTCTCCGAGGTAGCTATTCTCAATTTTCGCTCCGAGGTAGCTGTTCCAAATTGTCTCTCCGAGGTAGCTGTTCTCAATTGTCTCTCCGAGGTAGCTGTTCTCAATTCTCTTGCCGTAGTAATTGTTCTCAATTCTTTCGCCGGGGGAGTTGTTCTGAATTCTCTTCGATATAACTGTTCTCAATTCTTTCACCGGAATATTTATATCACAAATCTTTCTCATGCCGGATGCGGATGTGCATGGGAGGTCATTTGTTTTTCTATTCGGTGACCTTGTTGCATCTGGTTGGTGTGAGCTGCATGCGATGTTTATCCAGGCATCGTACTATGCATGAAAAACCACAAAAAGTAAGGAATATTTCTTGTTGAGTCCATGTTGCACAGTTTGCATAACTTAGACGATGAAAAAGTCAAGAAATTCCGAAAGACACTAATACACGTCTGTCAACAGAGTTTGATTGCATCAGCGGTAACATTAATGGTAATATTAACCGTTTCCCTACAAGGAAACATTTGGCATTCATTGACCGAGCAGTCAGTGTTGTTTTCAGGTGAAATTTATAAAATCTTTCTCTTAAAGTAATTTTTTAAAAACTGTTATCGCTCTTTCCAGTATTGATGGGGGATACTTTTCGAAACTTCTATTTGATATGGTGTGGAATTCTCTCTCCGAGGTACCAGCTCATGTCATTATTTTCTCTTCGAGTTACATGTGATATCCATTTTAGCTGCTGGTAATCCTTATGCTATGTAGTTTCTGTTATTCGTCAGGGTGCTTTGTTTGTAAGTCTGTCGCGCCAGTTCACAATGTTCAAAACAGGATGATCTTTGCCAAGATCCTCAATGTTTATTCGCTCAAATGGACTCTCCTCTCGAAACCGAACATTTATCTGCCAAAAAAATTCTTCTTCTTATTATTATTATTATTGAACCCCCTTTATTCGGTTATATAATATTTTTTGTATGAATATTATTTTAAAATCTATTCTTGGAAGCACGTCCACACGAATTAATTTCGTATTAACAAGAACAAAATGCTACAGGTGGGACAAGACAAATATAAGCTGTCATTTGACGTAACTGAAAAATAGTCGTGTCTAACATAATAAGTTGTTTCTCATACTATTCAAATTGATTTTCTTTCCGTTTCAAACTCATAAATTATATATAATTGCAGAACTATCAATAAATACCTATATGATAAACGCAGTTATCCAAACAAACTAAAAGTTGTTTAGTACGACAGAAGGTTGAATTGGGCAAAGTTCATTACATTATTCTAATTTCTATGATTTTTTAAAAATATTATCTCGGCTTGAAAACCAACCTCTCTTTCAGTGGGCATATTTTAAATATTTACCAAGTGATATATGCTATATCTAGTCTGAAAGTCGACAATCTCAGGATTTCAGAACTCCTCTGATTTCATCCTAACTCTAAATATATATCAAGTTATGATTGTTCGATCTGGAGATGGTTGGGTCCTGTCTTACCCAGGAAACATCACTGCTAATGCGGTTGAAGTAAGAATGGTGCTCCTACTATCCTAAAGAATTACGGTTCACGTGATCATTAATCAAAACCTGCATATGTTTAATAATTTGCTTTTAGATTATCAGTTCTGGAAAAATGCTTTTTCTTTGACTTTTGTAAGAATAGTCATTTAAATAATCAATTGGATCTTGTTTGAGTGAATTTTATAATATTTGACAAGTTTAAATTCACATTCCTTTTCGAAAATTATCAATGTCTAGTGGATTTGGGGAACTAATAAGACGAAATTCAATCAAATGAACACAATTCTTTTGCTATATTTTTTATATAGATTTTGCTCTTCAGGGCAAATGGCGGGCCCAAAATATCAGTTTTTCAACATAACTTTCCTTGTCTTTATCAGAAAATCATGATCTAGACCTCTGAATACATTTTTGGTGCAGAAAATCCCCCCAAAGGGATTCTAAATTGGTTAAATACAAAATTTGCTTAGGGAAGAGGGGAGATTCTGACCTTACATATGAGAGTTTCTAGACACAAACCATCACTCCTCTTCCTGGCTACAGCTGAAAATTGTAGAAAGACATAATCAAACGTGCTTTGAGTCAATTCGCCTTATATCTGCCATTCGGTGATGGCGATCTTTATCGATTTGTACTACGTCCAAGTTACGTATAAAGCAGAGAAAGCATTTGTTATCGCTAGGATTTAATTGCTTAGAACCTTCCCCAATACGTATCGAATCTATCAATCCCATGGATTGGAAAATCGCAATGCTTCCTGACATCTTCAGTTCCGCCATTTTTTTCCTTGAAATTCTTTATGGAAATTTCTCGTCCGCCGATTATTATTCCCCCAGTGGTTACCATCAGGCTTTACAGTTTATCTTGACACTCTTTTTCAAAAAGTATCTATCACAAGTATATTTGGAGAGCCTACAGCACAACATTCAGCCAAATTGGTACAATTTTTTATCAGCTTTTTTGTCTCAGAACAACAAAATTCGAACATCCTGAAAAAAAAAATGCCAAAGGCAAATCTTTTCTCTATTTTAGTCTATCAAAATATTAAAACGTTTAAATCTGGACATTGTAAGAGAATTGTTCCTGCGAAGATATTTAGAAAGTACTCGGTTCCTTTCGATTTTGAGCACTAAATATCAGTTTTCAACATAATTGTTCATAGATTTATCAGAAAATAATGATCTAGACTTCTACTGCTATGTTTTTTATAAGGGATAAAATGTCAAATAATTTGCTTGAATCCCAGGGACTGGTGGGGATATTAAAAGCAAAAACATTGTTTAGAGATACAAAAAATAGGGAGGTGTAAAGAACTACGCCTGTTCACATCCTGAAGCGGCACACCGCATAATAGACGATGACATTACTTTATCATAGTGAGTGGCTTTCAAGCGGACTTTCAAGCATTTTGGGAACACTTTTCTAAGTTATATGTGCTATATGTAGTTTGGAAGTAGACAGGACTTCAGAACTGGTTAAACTTTGACCTAACTCCAAGTATTTGTCAAGTTATGACGGAAGTTAATCCAAACTCGCACATGTTTAATAATTTATTTTTAGATGACCATTTCTGGATACTTGCATTTTTCTGCTTCTTTATATTAGGAAAGTCATTACAACTTTGTTGAAAATAATTTGATAAGGGACAAACAAGTTTAACTTGACATCGTTTTAAAAAAATGATCTGTATATAAGGATCTTTTGGAAGTGGGTGGCTCTACAACACAAATCCTGTCAGGTTAATACAGCTTTTGCCATATTTTGCCTACTGGACCCAATAACGCTAACAAGACATAGACGCGCCATTTTCTTTCGTTTTTTAGTCCCAAACATTAAAAAACAATTTAAAACTGTAAAATGTAAGACAGTTGTCTCAGGGAAGATATTTAGAACGTACTCAGTTCCTTTCATACGTTAAATTGAACATTACCCGATTTTGGTACCATATGCCGGGTACCGAATACCAGTTTTCAACATAACTGCTTTTGCATTTATCAGAAAATAATGATCTAGACCTCTATTGCTATGATTTTTTATACTCATTCCATTTTCTGCTACTGAAAACTCTCTCAAAAGTTGTATAAATAGGTTGAATGTAAAATGTTGACTCTTTTAGGGTTTGATTTTAAAACCCGGGTTTTCTAGACTTAAACATGTAAAAAAAAATTTAATTAGAAAAATGTGAATGTTCTATTTTAATATTTCTCTTATGTACAAATACCATGAACACCAGTTTCACAATTGAGCTGACAATTATTCAGGGTTTCAAAATCCACAAACGTCCACTTGGTTTTGTTGTACGAGACAACAGTGTGTTTCGAATCGATGTGTCGAGACAACAATTCTTTTTCTCTTTTTTTAAGTAAAATCGATCCCTCTTCGAACAAACTCTTATTAAATCAGGAAGTTTCGTGGCGCAACTTTTAACTTAGACCGCCTGCAATGTGGGACAAAGTATCTTATTACAGAATGTAAAAATGTCGGATACCGAATACCAGTTTTCAACATAACCGCCATAAATGAAACATCGATTTTAAAATCGAGAAGACATTGCTATCACAACCAGGAGCAACGTAATCAGTGGACGTTATTTAATCCCAGATTCTGTTTAGAACATTGCATAATTAGGGGTAAGATAATGTTGCCGCACATCTGAGGAAAGACTGCCTGTCTAGAGAATCGGGATTCGAAATCTCTGCTTTTTATCTAAACTCGAACACCAATCTCTGCCACTCTTTGTTAATACGTAATCTCAATCCTTTTGTTTTCGGGATAGATAGATAGATAGATAGATAGATAGATAGATAGATAGATAGATAGATGTGAAAAACTGGGACAGATAGAGAGATAAATAGAAAGAGAGTAAATAAAAAGAGAAGCTAATAATTTAACAGATTGATAATAAACATAGATAGAGAGATAGACAGACAGCAATGAACAAAAAAAAAAGGAAGAAAGAGAAACAGAAAGAAATAATGAAATAGAATTATATATAAATAGAATGATATAGGCAGATAGAAACGGGGACATAAAGAAAGAAATAATGAAAGAAAAAGAAAAAGAAGGGAATCAATATATTGATAGACTGATAACGAGAAAAGTGGGATAGATAGGAACAGAGTGAGATCGATTGTATAACAGATAGATATATACAGAGAAAGATAGATAGAGAGAGAGAGACAGTGTGAGATAGATATAGGCACTGTGAGATAGATAGATAGATAGATAGATAGATAGATAGATATGGACAGTGTGAGATAGATAGACATAGACACTGAGATAGATAGATAGATAGATAGATAGATAGATAGATAGATAGATAGATAGATAGATAGATAGATAGATAGATATGGACAGTGTAAAATGCAAAGAAAGAAAGACAGGTGGAAATAGATAATATGAGTCTGTATTCATTTTTAAAGACATTAAATGCAGAATACAATATATAATAGCATAGAAAACAAAATTGAGTTTATTCTATTAAAGCCAACAATCGTTGTGCCACCTAGTGAGGATCAATCATCAAACGTAAGTGATTTATCCATATATATATATATATATATACACACACACATGTATTATTGTCCCTCTGTTGCTTGGATTTACAGGTACACCGAGACATAATTATTAAAATTCTTACTCACTCATTTGAAGGGAACGTTTGGAATATAATGCTATCAGACAACAGATTACGCGCAATATCCGATTATCTAAAATACAAGTCGTGTTTATCGAGAATTTTGTACAGAAACTG